ACGTATTCTCGTTCTTTCTTTCTTAGAATAAGACCTCCTGTAATAGCCAAGCCCTGGGATAAAGCGTTTGATCTCTCTTTAGGAAAAACAAAGGACTGGGAGTCAGGAAACCAGGCTTAGATTCTGATCATAACTCCTGATGTGACTTCCCTTTGCCAACCCCTTTGTCAGCTAAATGGGGATAACAATCTTCCCATCTTCCTGGGATATTGTACGGGTAAAATAAAAACACAGATCTGAAAGGTTTGCAATATGAAAGTGCTATCTAAAAGTAAGACGTTTCTACTGTTTGTTTCTATATAAACTTTTATCTCCTTCTGGCTCACCCAACTTCAGTTTGCCCAGCCAAGATACTGCATCTAGAACCTGGCTCTGTTGTTTGCTTATATACTTACGTATTTATCTACTTTTTTCTTCTCTATTTCTTATTCCAGACAAGCCACAACTTAGGCTTCTCGCTCCTTCCAGTTACCTAGAAAAACATCCTCAACTTTTCACCTAGCACGATGGCGAAAACATTGATCTGTCAGTTAGATTAGCGAGGTGCCCTCAAGAAGAAAACCCAAAAGCTCTCTTCCACTCCTGCTTCCCACACAGCTCACTTTTTAAGTGCAGTGTGGTGCCGTGCACAGGCATCTCGGGCAGAAAGGTCTCTAAGACTCCCCAGTGAATTGGGCACCCCTGAACCAGGTGTTAGGTATTCCATGCATCTTCAGAGGACTAACCTCACAGAGGACTAACCTCTGGACTATCTCAATGGTTCCAGGCCTAAAGCCTATACTGCAACAACTTCTTGACCAGCATTTGCCCCAAGTTGTGAGCAGAGCTCTGCACAAGCTAAGCACTCAACACCTCTCTCCTCCCTATGGAATATGAGTGGCAGAAAATGTTAAGGGTGTCAGGGTAGGGAGATTAAGAGGAAAATAAGAAGTGGAGGTGAGGTTGGAAAAGTTACTGGTGTTCTACCTTGATACCAAGCCCAAGACAGACAGTCACTCCCCAGAATCTATAAAGAATCCTCTGCTAAGAATTTATTTGAATTCTTACCAAATTTTATTTCAAAATGAAAACAGATGAGAGAGGGCACTGCCCCCTGACTATTTATAAGGCAGCTGCTACCAAAACAAAATATACTCCCTCTCCTCCCCTCCAAACTAAACAGTAGTTTGTCAAATGGATGAATAAGAAGAAAAGTGACAATTTTCCTTTATGTTAATAAATTGCTTTGGCCTAAAAAACATTAATCAATTTCTTTCCAAAGTGTACATGCTTCCCTATACTCTGCTATTTGCCTGGCCTTGAAAAGAAAGTCACTTTCAATCCCTTTAAATTGTCAAGACCAGTGGGGACAGTTGCAGGAGGGGGGTGGGGAGCTTCCTAAGCCCTAATGATTATAATGGAACCTGTGGTGTTTCCATAGAAACATAAAGAGTGTATTCTTCCTTGAATGTATATGGAGGGGAGGAGTGAAGAGTGATGTTGCTGACAAGGTGTACAATTACTGAAGAGCTAAAGGTATGAGTGAGGAGGTATGGTTCAGTCCCTAAGATAGGAAGACAAAAGACTTACTGAAGAGTGGGGTGGGCAGACACCATATCCTACATGAGGACATTTCACCTGTTATTGTGTCCCATCTGCACAACTACCCAGTGAGGTAGCTTTATAATCCCCGCTTTCAACTGAGTCTCAGAAAGACTAGCAACTTGCCCAAGGTCACCCAGCCAGTAAGTGGTATATCCTCTGTTCAAACCCAGGAGTGTTCCCCTTGAGAGCCCCTGTTCTATTCTCCATATTGGGCTGAACTTTAAATTGTGATGATGAGGCAGAGTTAACATTCTGTTTCCTGGCTCTTCTCTCCCCAGGTATGCCAGTTCTATACATATTCTGGAATCCCCCAGAGCATTATTTTTTTCTAATTGGTATTGGGACACTATTGTGAATCTTAACATAACTCAAGTGGTTTGTTGTTGTTGTTATTTGTTTGTTTGAATGGTGAAGTCAGAGAAAAGTTACATATAAAGAAGGAGGCCAGTTTATGTATATGTTCATATAATTTGGTAGAGGTGTATGCATGAACAGCTGGAAGGTAGGGGTAGCTGAGATAAATACAAAGCAATTTGTAAAGCAATTATTAGTTTAATCATCCATCTCACGTGCTGGGATGTAAGATCCATGAGAGCAGTATCCACATCTTACTCTCTTACTATTAGTCCCTACAACTGAGTACAGTGTCAGGCCCAGAGCAGGATAAATGGCTGGTTGGCCGGCTGGCCGGCTGGCTGGATGGCTAGATGGTTGATAGGATGGATGGATGGATGGATGGATGGATGGATGGATGGATGGATGGACGGACAGATGGATAAATGGATGGTTGGCTGGCTATCTGGCTGATTGGATAGATGGATGGACTATCCTATACCAGAAAGCACAGGAAATTCTGAGAATGAGCAGGAGGTACCCACTTTCTTGGGCTCTATATGGTGCTCTAGGATAGAGGTTATTTTTGTGCCTTGGGGGGAAGGCTAGGAATATTTTAGGAGGTAGCAGAACTGTGAATGTGGATGTCCCCTATCTGTGAATTAGTGCTAGTGGGGGTAAGAATCAGAGTTTGCAACTTACTGCTTTAAATGCTTTCCTTGAAGCAATGCAGAGGTTGTTGGAGACCAACTGTTACCCAGCCTCTGAAGCCATCTCCTTAAGTTTCTACTGGGGAGAGTGAGGTGCAGGTTGTACAGACAAAAATTCACCCCATGTCCAGAGACAAAGAAGAGTACAGCGCTGGAAAGTGCATCCTGGAAGTGAAAGCCTCAGTGTTTGAGTTTGTGGATGCCTCTGTTCAGTGACCTGGCAAATCCCTGGCTTTGGCTAAAATGTCCCTAATTGCTTTTGATGTTGACTGGAATTGACCTAAGACACAGAGCCATTGGATTACCAGTACCAGGAGGCCAGAAATAATGTCTATCTGTCTACCATTCCTTCCCTAGCACCTAGCATAGGTGCTAGGTCTCGCACATGGGTGATACTCAATAAATATTTGTTGAATGACTGGCTGAATACTTGGTGCCTTGTTCTGAGCTGAGTGTTGTACATGTATATCCTTTAAACTTCACTGAAATCCTATGAGTAGGTACCATGCTCATTTTGCCGATGAGGACACTGTGGCTTAAAAAAAAAATGAGAAATGACTTCCCCAAGAACTCACAGCTGATCAGTTGTGGAACTTTGCTTTGAAAAACACAGCCATTATATAGGTGATCCAGCCAGGAGTATGTCCCTATAGAAGAGACCAAGGAGGAATGTAAAAAGAAAGGATGACACCAAGGAGAAGAAGTCTGGGTGAAGCTTATCAAAAATACAGAACCATCTTCCCAATGCTCCCTAAGCACTGACACCCCATCGGTCTGGCTACAAAACATGCTATCTGGCTCTTCTGACTCTTTAGCTTCTTCCATCTTGGAATGCCCGTTGGGGGGCTTCATTAGTCATGTGTGACAATCATGATTTGCCTTTCCAGCAGCACTTACTCTGATCCTGGGTCTCTGTGAGGTGACATGGGGATAGTAGATAAGGACAAGTGTCCGTTTAATGATAGCTCCTTCTTATCCCTTGCTGGGTAGAAAGGGATAAAAATGTCCTGCCACACCACAAACCAATGTAGGGGACTTCTGTCTTCCATATAAAGCATTTCATTTCGCTCCTTACCCAAGCAAGGAGAATACACTGTTTCTGCGACTCTGCATTTCCTCCACTCTCCACACTCCTACACTGGTTACTCATCTTGGGCCATCTGAGGCCCCTAGAATGAAACCAGGTGAAAACACAGCTAAGAGTTTAAGAGTCTTTTTATAATCATCTCGGCAGTGAAAACTCCTCCATAAGTAAATCTCCTAGGGAGGAAAGTGGACAATTAAGGGCAGAGAGAACCCATGCACAGCCTTTGGGGACATCTGCAGGATTCATTCTTTCTGGCCTGGCTCTCCAGCCTCTGGGAAAACTGAGTCAGAGTTATGAGTCAAGCTGACAAACCCTGACACACCTGCAGGCCTGATTCTCAAGCCCTCAAGGGCATGGGAAGTGTGAGTACCCACTGTGAGCACCCACTATGAACAAGCCAGAGCTTCTGTACTTCCTGACCTCTGACTCTCTCAACCTCTGGGAACACCCGGTCCCCAAGTGCATCATGTTTACCTTACGGATAACACAATGGAGTCTGTACATTAATGACTCCAAAACACACAAATAAAATAGCAAAGAAAAAATGGAGATTAAGAAATGCCCATTAAAGGAAAGTATTTAAATATGTCTACATGGAGGAATACTATGAGGTAAGTGTATATGGAAAGCTCTCCAAGCCACATTGTTAAGTTGAGAAGCAAGGCAAAGAGCAAGACATAATTTATTAGTGGTAATAATGGTAATGATGATAATAATAACAACACTAATAGGAGCAACCAAATATGGAAGGCTTACTACCTGCCAGGTACTGCTCTAAGTACTTCCTTTGTATTCTCTCACTTGGTTAATATACGTATTAACTCCAAAGACAGCTTTTGAGATTGTTGCTGCTATTGTGTCCATTTCATTGATGAGGAAACTGAGTTGTCAGTTTTATTGTATATTCATCTATATTATTTAAATCTTCTATAATGAGGCAGTTTTGTGCAAAATGTATAAAAAGAATTAACAATTAACATTAAATAGATGTGCGAGAGAGATTGGAGCAATATTTACTGAACACCTACTATCAGGCTGTCATATTACACGTCTCATTTAGACTTAAGTGCATCCCCAAAAGGAAGGCATTTCAGGTGCCAGTTCATCCATGAGGAGCTGGAGGTTGAGAGGGCTGGCACCATCTTCCCAAGGTCAGTAGGTACCTAAGCATGTGGGGCTTGATCTCAAAGCCTATACTCCTCCATGTCAGTTGGACACTCGGTGATGCTAAATCAGTATGTGCTGATTTGAATTTACTTTCCTCCCTTCTCCTCTCTGTTTTTCAGTGTAGAATATGATTTTCGGCAACAGGAAGGCAGGTTCCATGAAGTTCTACAGAGTCTGGAGGAAGCAGAACCAGTGGAGGAGACATTTCCCCCACCAAAGTCCCCAGCAGAAACCCCAGTCCCTGAGAAACAGGACTTAAGGAGGAAAACCAAGAAAGTGAAGAAGAAATGCTTCTGGTGGATCTGAGCTTGTTGGGTCCATTCCCTTTGCCCTCCCCTGATACCTCCCCAAGGTGGGAAAACCACTGCCCTCAGGCCTTCTCTACTTCTTAGCACAGGCCCCAGGTGGTTAGCCATTCAACTTGTGAAATGGGGAAGACTCAGGGCTGGTTTAGCTGCTGCTGGACACCTGACCACTAATCTCACCTGAATGAGTGACGCTGCTTGCTGAGGACTTCATGGACCCTAGAGTGACCACTTGCCTAGGTGGCTGTCACACATGACCAGGCCACATCCTTGTTTGAGAGTCTAGGTTCCCACCATGAGCAAAACCCTATCACATTTTCCAACACCTCCATGATGCTAAACACTTCCTTCTCGTCCTGGGTTTATCATCCCAAAAGAAAAACAAATACTGTGAATAACAGGAAGATAGAGGAGCATTATAAGCAGATACCCCAGAAAAAATTAGATACATAAACTGGCAGTTTTCTAAGATATTGGCATATAGAAGCACAACAGAAGTAGGTAGGGCATAAAAATTCAAGATTACCTGGTGGGTTGGGTCATTTTCATTTTTAATTAGCCCTTAGATCCCAAATCAAGGATGTGTCATCTCATGCTGTGTAAGCTTTACAGTCTGTGGCAGAGTGAGGTTACAGCAGGGTATAAGGAACTTGGTGGTATGGCTATCCTGCAGTTGTAACTACTGCAGGGCCTAACTTAAACCATCATGTTCTCAGCCTGGGGCCTGAGACCTGTCGGCAAATGGGTGGGACCTGGTTTGGGCTTGAACTTTAAGATTCCACAGTTAGTGTCCCTGCAGTATTTAAGTAGCTGTCTGTCCATTTCATCTTACCAGTAACATAAGACTGAGATAAAACACAACACTGGTTCTTGTTCATTCATCCCAGTAACAGCCTTGTAGATAGGTTCCAAGGTATATTAATCTTTACAATCTCCCTTTGTGATGACCACGTGATGGTCACCTGATTGAAGAAGCATCAGGACTGGGGATGAGGATACATTTTTTTCCATTTTTGTATTAAAGACCTTTCCTTCCCAAAGTCTGAATTCTTTTGAAGTCTGACTCATTCTTTTGGCAAGACCCTCATACATGTGGGTCCAGTCAAACTTGCATGGCTGAACAAACTACTAAAGTAATAGAATTAATTGCTACATACTCTTGGGGATAAGGGGTAGGTTGGAAAGGCTTGTATCCTTTGCATTAAATTCTCTACCAGCCTGTGGTTGCATTGATGATGCTTAGAAAAGGGATCCTAAAGCTCAACAAGCATTCAGTGAAGAAGGCATTTCATAATCCCCTTTGCGGAAGATCAGGTGTCTGAGTTAGAGTCTACAGAGTGCACGTGGGATGTATGTACCCCACTGCAAATTGAGACTAACTGAACAAACCACTCTGACAGCTTCACCTTTCCCTGTCACCGTGCTGCAGTGCACAAAGCTATTTCAGTGGGAGCAAGAGGGAAATTTGGCAGAGTCTCGGCTTGTACTATTTAAGTCTTGGAATGTCATTCAAGATGTTCTCATTCTGTTTCTAGTGTAATGTTTAAACCCACAAAATGAGACCGGAATACATAACACTAAGTTGGAATTAAGATAAATACACTTCTCATACTTAAGAAGTCACATTTCAATAAGATATGCTACCACTGGCTAAAAGCCACAGATCTCTCTGTATCCACACAATCAACTCTCAGTTGGCCCCAACAGTGGAAAAGAACAGCACAGAGGATAATCCAGTAACACAAGATCATTTGGGATCTCTTATACAATTTTTCTCGTAGTAGAGCTTCCATCTTAATTTGCTTTGCTTATGCTAATTTCCAAATTAATTTATATTCTCGGGTAGCATGCTAGAATGAAAATAATCCTGTTCCTAGAATTAAGAGACCCAGGCAACAGAACAGTCTATTACACTAACTTTGGCAAATTGCTTAAATTTTCAGGACCTGTGTCTCCACTCTTGAATGGAGATATAAATACCTACTCTACCTACTTTATAAGCTCTGTGCACATTCCAACATCAAAATGAGCAGAATGCAGAATGACCCAGAGCTGAGCGGGATCGCTTGCCAGAGTTAGCCTGGAATGATGAAGAGGTATCTGAGGTAACTCACACAAAAAGAATAATCTACCTCTTGGATAATGAAGCTCACCTTGTCATACACTTACAACACGGAGTTGGGGACCTGAGATAAATCCTCAACTGAATTAAATGAAATTGGGGTTGGAAAATGTTGACATTTTGAAAACAACAACAACAACAAAACAACAACAAATGAGGCTATGATAATTCTATACCAAAGCACAACACAGCACTGCTCAGGCCACCAACCTAAATCGAGAAGGGGGTCTCTTCTGAATATTGAACATTTTAAATAGGAGGGAAATGGGTTCAGTAAACAACTTCCTGCTGAACACAAATGATCATCTCTTATGTTTCAAACAACACACAGTTCCATATGCCAAACCTCTACTCACCTAACATGTGAAATCACTTCTTCGTAAAATATTATGTAACATCTACTATGATATTCTATAGAAATGCTGTACTTGAGGTTATATGGTTTTATGAGAGATACTAATTTAACAAAAATTACTTTTATAAAATTGAAGGGAAAAAGACCAATACATCAACTTCAGTTGCAGGAGTTTATGTAGCTGCTTTCTCTGTAGTTAAAAAAAATAGGTACTCACTATACTTGGAACTTCATACCAGCTCATCTATAGAGCACCTTCTTAAAGACTATGTACCAATGTAAGGTTTTGTAAATTTCTACACTGTTTTAAATGGGATATTATCTTTTGCAATAAACTTACATATTTTTCCTAGGTTTTAAGACTCCATTACTAGTTTGGGTTGATTTGGGTTATAAAATTTAAACTTAATTGAGAATGACTCAATGGTTCAAGCGACAAGGATAGTTTCCATTATAATCGCTTCTGTATGTTTCCCAGGAAAACACATCAACAATGAACACATTTAGAACTTAGTGCCTCAATGATCACATGAAGCCCTATGTGTCCTGGGAGCAAAGGAGGCAGTTTAAATCAATGGAATAGTTCCTAGCTTCATTCAGATGGATATACTTTCCTGATTTTTTATCATTATTATGCCCATACAATATAATTTATTCAACATTTTTTTTACTTTTCCTGTAATTTTCTTCCTTAAAAGACAGCTTTATATCACCACCATAAGGAAACCAATATGCTGTTCCAAAAATAGAAGACAAAATCAAAGTAATTTTATTAAATTCTTGCTAAGATTTGAGTGTTGACGGTGTTAAGCCTGAGACTAACTCTCTTTGTTAAAAAGGGAGATTAGCAAATATTCAACACATGCTAAAGCCACTTTAACACCAAACACATTTTCTACTTGACTAATCGGGATGTTTGAGAGGGAAATGAAAAGAAAACAACTTTCCCATCATGTGATTCAATGTTTTTTCTTTCATTGTCCATGAGCCATCTAAAGCCAGCTTGTTTACCAATTTAAGGTGGGAGGAGTCTTGGGCATAGAATCAGAAGTCTTGGGTTTGACAAAATTCTGCCACCTTCTTTTTGCTAGGTGGCTTTGGGAAAGTTAACCTCTGTGAGCCTCTGACTCCTTTTCTTATAATACTGAACATAACCTTTGCCTTACAAGGGTGTCTGACACTTAAGTGAACGAAAATCCTGGACACAATGTAGAGCACACAACGGGTGCTCAATAATTGTATATTCATTCATTTGCTGATTGAAGTATATTGGGAGAGAAGTTGCAAGATGCCTTCACAGGGCTGCAGTGGGTTTTCAGAAACAAGCTTAAGATTTTCTCAGGGAGGGCGCCTGGGTGGCTCAGTTGGTTAGGCGACTGCCTTTGGCTCAGGTCATGATCCTGGAGTCCCAGGATCAAGTCCCACATCGGGCTCCCTGCTCAGCAGGGAGTCTGCTTCTACCTCTGACCCTCTTCCCTCTCGTGCTCTCTGTCTCTCTCTCTCTCTCAAATAAATAAAATCTTTAAAAAAAAAAAAAAGATTTTCTCAGGGAAAAAATGGTGTTGATAAGGAATGAACTCTTTCTTATTAAGACCAGAAACCATGACGGTGAATGTTCCCTGAGAAAGTTCTCAGTGATCCAGAAGAATATGCAGGCATATCAAGCACAGCATAGAGCTCTAAGAAATGAAAGATCCTTGTCAAGTATCTTGAGGTGAATCAACTATCCTTGAGATGAAAGACACTGCAAAACCTGGGTGCCTGCCATTTTAAGCATGAGGCAGTCAAGTAAGGCTAAATGAGTCATCTGAGGGCTCACAGCAATAGCTCAGGGAAGTCATGCTGGAGCAATGTAGTGGTGGGAATAATATGGGAAGTCTACTGGACACCATGACCCAGGGCAGTCCCAGGAATCACTGACACTAAATTTGAGACCCATTCTGACTGGCAGGTTCAACTGCCTCATTAGCTGAGCAGAGGCCTCAATATGGCCTTTGCTTGAAAAGGCTTTCATTTCAACCTGCTCAAGGTAACTTGCTGTATACCAAAAACATATTTCTTTTTTTAAGTCCCAAGAAACATAGATTTTTTTAATGATCATTATGCTCGTAAAGTATGGCGTGCAATAAAAAAAGCTGTGGGACAAATCCACACCCAACCAACATTGTGTTTGGTGTAAACTATGTTTGACAAATTAATGCTCATAAGCCCTTTTGGGTTTCATCTCAACTTCATCCCCGTCTTTCAACCAACTTACAGATTGAATTCCTATTGGTCACATCTATCACCACTACTCTGGAGGTTTCCCAAATACATGATTTCAGCCTGTCTCCTACAGGACCCTCAGTCCATGAAGAGTAAACCTAGAGCTTGGTTTTCTCACTGCCAGACTAAGCCAGGTGCCAAGATAAGCACGCCTCTCCTCCAATACTGCCATCCTGTTCCAAACCCCTCCTCTTAGCTGGCCTCCACAAATGTACTCCCTTTCCCTTCCAGCACATTCTCCACATTTCAAGCAAAGGCAATCACTGCAGAATTTAGATCTGACCCATGTCACACTTTGGCTTCCTGATAAAAATTTAGAAAGTAAGACCAGATCTGTCACTACAAACCCAAAAGGGCCCACCTGCCTCTCCCATGGAAGTGCCCATCTTAGGCACTTTCCCTGCCTGCTCTACAATCACACTGAGTCACCTTGGCTTCCTTGGACCCATTATGCTAACACATCCTTAAGGGTCTATGTATACTTTTCCTTCTGCCTGGAATAATCCACACTATGTCATCCTCCCTGCCCTGTTTCCAGCTCTGTTGGGGCTTCCCAGGTAAGGTTTTCTAAGACTACTACCACCACGGCCCTAGATCACATGAAATACCCCTCCTGTACACTCACCTGGCACCAGGGATCTCTCCATCAAAGTTCTTTTTTTTTTTTTTAAGATTTTATTTATTTGAGAGAGAGAGAATGAGAGACAGAGAGCACAAGAGGGAAGAGGGTCAGAGGGAGAAGCAGACTCCCTGCTGAGCAGGGAGCCCAATATGGGACTCGATTCCAGGACTCCAGGATCATGACCTGAGCCGAAGGCCGTCGCTTAACCAACTGAGCCACCCAGGCGCCCTCCATCAAAGTTCTTGACACAGTTGTCCTTGTACATACATTTGTGTCATTCCTTGATGACTGTGTTTCTCTCTCATAGCCTATAATCTTCTTAAGGCAGGAATCCTGCTTATTTTTGCTTACCTTTATATCTCTAGCACTTAGCACAATGGGACTGAAGTATCTGTTGCAGCAATAAATTAATGAATGAATTGGATGCAGAGGACAGACACGAAAAAAAAATGATTCCCAGTTTTTTTCTTTGTCTATCAGTTCTCATGTGGGGATGGTCCCACTGGAGTGTGTGTATAGGCTCTGTCTTTCCCCCAGGAACATTCATCCTTCTACTGACTAGCAAGTAAGTGCCCAGGGCTTGTAATTCTACTATGGTCCATGTGGCACTCAGAACCCAGGAACATCAAGCCACTATCATCCTACCCTCACTGCCAACTCCCTAACACCTTTATTCTGAATATTGACAGTCTGGCTTAACCTT